GGACTCAGAGTTGAGCCGCTCCTCCTTCGTGTCGAAAGGAGCCAGTTGAGGTGGTTCGGGCTCCTAGTTAGGATGCCACCTGGGCGCCTCACTAGGGAGGTGTTCCAGGCACGTCCAGCTGGGAAGAGACCAAGGGGTAGACCTAGGACCAGGTGGAAGGATTATATCTCTTCGCTGGCCTGGGAGCGCCTTGGGATCCCCCAGTCAGAGCTGGTTGATGTCGCCAGGGAAAAGAAAGTTTGGGGCTCTCTGCTGGAACTGCTACCCCCGCGACCCGACCACGGATAAGCGGGAGAAGATGGATGGATGGATGGATGGATAGGTAAGCTGTGAATTTGAGAAGAAATGTTGCACATTCACTCTGTATTAAATAGGCTATTCAGGTTTTAGAATGTGAAGTAAATTGATAGTAGTGTTAAGACTGACACCTGGGAGCTATATCAGTGGAGCATTACTATAACGACATCTTCATGGAAACAATTTGGGTTTGAAATAGCTCTGGACTCATTACTGAAAACCTTCAGCAATTCACAGTTATTTATATACATTTTAACAAAAAAGATGTAAAGGGTCGTATTTCTATCTGTCACTTATAATGCACTACACAGCTTTGCTCACAACAATTATTAATATTATTCAGCCTAAGCAATATGAAATTGTTCAGTGTGCAGCACAGAGATCCTTCTCTTTTACATAACAGGTTTTTCCTGTATAACTTCAAGGACCCTCTGATGTTCTCTTAGATTTACCAAAATATCTGCTTTTATTGATTTTTCTAGAAGAAACTGGTGCATTTGGTTTGATAAACAACACGTGAGTATGTCATTAGTGCCAGATCTCTTCAGTACATTGCCATTCCTGTGTCCAGGGTCTTGGACTTTTTCTTCTTCTCCTCTCAGTGTTGTTCTCCACAAGCACAGCAGATAATTGAGCAGTAGATTACATATGAAAGGGCCCTTATCTCGAACAGCATTTATGCAAGGTCATTTGCAGCCACTGCCACACACATTGAATAACAGCTATTGGTTGACTGTATTGTAAAGACCGTTTCTTCTCTCTGTTCTCTGGCAGATTTCTGCGGTTTGCTTGTTTCATCTGTGGAGAGAAGATGAAAAAAAGGTGAGTCAATGTGTGCACATCTGCTACCTCGCTTGGTGTGTCTGACAGTGACAGAAAAAATGAAAATGTGCTGTACTGTTTATCGCAACCTTTCATATCATCATATTGCTAAAGGCTACGATGAGTGTTTGTTTTGTTATTTTCTGCTGGGTTTGTAACTTAATAGAACAAAGCTTAGCTTGATTCCTTAGCTTGATTCCTTAGCTTGATTCCTGCGGTGATGTCATTCACATGAAATGAAATGTAGTCAAATGTAATGAAATGTACTTTTTAAATGTTGGCCATGAGGGGTAGTGCAATAGGTCGCCATTGTCAGTATGTGCGTCTGTGTATTGTGTTTGTTCAAACGGTGTATGACTGATGATATGTGTATGTCTCTTAATGTCCACTATGTTTGTATATGTACATGTATGCGGAACTGCAGGACGGAGTCCAGAACAAATGTCCTTACGGGGACAATAAAGTATATCGTATCGTATAGTTGCCAAATACCCAAGATGTTTCACAGTCTTATATACAATATAACAGGTTGTGTTTCTGTGAACATATCCACACTCAAAGCTTTATCATGTTGCCCCTTATTTGATAGCAAGCAGGAAAAACATGAGGAGGATCTTCTCCATCTTTCATACACTACAGTTGAAAAGGCATTTTGTGACCATTGTGATTTTTTTTAGGTTTGCAATGAAGTTTTGCAATCACTGTTTTTTCATGTATTTGCAGTGTACTTTTGTAAGCTGCTGAATATTGTATATAGATAAACACAGGGGCTTAGAGGCGGGCATAGTTTTGAAGGATCACACTTTCAGTCTCAGTGATTCTCAAATGGGGGTACGCGGACCCCTAGGGGTACGTTGGGGTAGTGCAGGGGGTACGTGAGGTAAACAAAATAAAAAAGGTTAATTAAAAAAATACCATGCATGATTACAAAAATAATCTTAGTACAATAAGTTAAATAGAAAACACAATTTTATATAAAATATTCCTAGAACCACTAAGGGGGTCCTCATATAAACATGTTACATTTGTGTATTGTATTTATAGTTTTTAATATCATTTTGTTCATTGGTTTGTTAAACATATATTAATTCAATTGAAAAACTCCTTGGAAAAATCTTTTTTTTCATGCATAAAGATGAAAATATCCTTAGTTTGTTGTAATTCATGCATTAAGGAGTTAATAAATCAAACATTGTAATTGTATTGTAATTATTTATATAGGCTTTTTCTGTCAAAAATGTCCAGGTCGGTCAGGGGGTACTTGGCTGAGAAAATGTTTCAAAGGGGGTACATTACTGAAAAAAGTTTGAGAAGCACTGGTCTAAATGTTCTAGCTCCTCTGTACTGGCACTGCCGTGTTGGTGCAGCGTTGCATTTCTCCTGCTCCTTCTTAACTTAGTGATGTATGTGCTCTTAAATGTTGACTGCTTTACTGCAGGGTTCATCTCCTAACAGGGTAATCTCTGAGGGGCTTGTCCAATCTGCATAACTTGGGCATCACCATGATTTACTGTAATTTCTGCCTTTAGCTCTACATCATATCCTGGCAGTTTGCTTTTTGCAGAATTTTATTTTTGCTAGCCGAACTGTAGTCCTATAACCTTACTTAATATCCAACATAATGAGAGTGGCGCTCTCAACATTGTTGCGGTACTGTTTACTTGTCATATCAGGCGGAATTATTTTTTTCAAAAGCTTTTTACAGCAGTATGAATCACATTGTTGTCACTATGCATTGTGGATTAACCTAATCAATCTAGGAATTAGTCAACATAAAAGCTATTTTATTCCCTTTAATTATCAGAAATCCTGGTGTCAGTTTGCTTTTCATACATTGGCATTGATTATGTTTTATCTTTACTGGCTATGCTCATTATTTTAATGTGCATTATCCCAGAGCTGGTGTTGAATATCAAACAACACATTCCTGGATGTGCACAGCAGAAAAAACTAAGCTTAACACAAACATTTGAACTAAAATGTTTATTATTTATGTTAAGTATGATCAAATATATATAACAAAGGAAAACCGATTTATAGATAATTGCAGAATTATCCTTTGTGCTCTGTCAGGTGGGCACACAATATCAGACGTTATGTTAATGACTTCTTACTCTTATCCCACTCTGCATTAGGAGTTAACTAGCCTATACATGTTATTGCATCTTTATAATATGGTATTGCTTTTACAAACACATCTGGCTAGTTAACAGGCAGTTAAGGCATTATGTTAGTTATGAAGCCAGAGGTATTTTAGTCAGCACATTAGTTTATGAAGTCAAACTCAAAGGCCCCAAAAAGAGAGTGCAGTGCTCAGCAGTGCCTCAAATATTACCCCTACCTTATTAATATTCACTGCATTATGCTGTGCATTCTACCATCCACTTGAAAGCCAATTACTGATGAAAAGTCCACCACTTTCATCCTGCAATCTACAACAACAGACATGCCTGCCGGTGTGAAGTTGGGATTAAAGTTGGCTCACCTTAACTCTGGACAACTTTCACCCAAATGTAGAGAATGCAAATAAATGCAGCGTAAAGAGTATTTAATTATACAACTAAATATGGAAAGAAGCAGATTAATGCAACAAGCATGAACAAAATCACACTACTCTAATGTTGAATATTTATCATTATATATATATAATCTATACAATGTACTTTTTTTGCACAATGTACATTTCTTGGGAGGTCTTAAATCATTTTTCGGCTACTGTGTATGTATTATTCACGGGATGTTAACTCTAGGGTTGGCTGTTTTTTTTTTTTCAAATAATAGATTAGGTTTCTCTTGAGGGTCACCTAATATAATGGGCATAAAGCTGAGGATCAGGTCATAGTCGACCACCTGTGCTTCCACCATGCTCCCGGATTGGTACCTGAACACGTCACGGTTGCTGCTCTTAATTTGGTTATTACGGCATTTTCAGGAAACACAGCATACATCTCTAGTGATTCCTACATGCTCACTAATATATGACATATTTCTGTTATAGGCAGTATCTAAAAGGATTGTACGTTGTCAGCATTTTGTCGGAAACATTGGCATACTTGGCTCTGTTTGAGAATGAAGACATTTAAACCTCAGGGAAGGTCCCATATGTTAAATGTCTATAGCATCATCCATCAATGTTAAGTGGTTCTTCTTTTAAGCACATTAGTCAATGTGGGTCATGACTGTGAACACAAAGTGCAGCTTTATACATTTTAAGCACAGGAGAGAATTATATAGCCTTACGTCAAGAATCAACCACCAGTACATTCATCTTCATCAAGTCAGTTACGTTTTGACAAGAAATAATATTGGATTTACTTAAGGTGTCACAAAGTTATGAGTTTATATAAGTTTATTTTTGTTTAGCTTGTAGTGCTTTTGGGTGGAAGAAGCACAAAAAAGGCTGCTGTCTTGTCATTTTTAAATTGCAATATCTCAGACATTGTTTTGGTAGATCTATTTTAAGTCTTAGCCTTTCCTGTCAGGTGAAAATTGATACTGTGGTAGGGGGATTTAAAACCACAGTAGTCTATCACTTCAGGCATCATGTTGCATTTCCTTCAGTGAGCATGTTTTAAATTGCCTCTGGACTTTAACAATGTGTGGTTGACATTGGATTTCTTGAAAGTTTATAGATGCCGTTGTTTACGTAGTTGTATATGAATTGCACACCATGCCATTGCATTCTATGGTGTTGTGGTTAATGGTTGCTATGCTCTCTGTGCGTGGTTACTAGGGTAGAATATTGATTTAATCCTCAAGGGCTTTGGTCATATCCTTGGCAGTTCACCTATTGTTATGATAATTAGACATCCCCGGGTAGCCAATGAGTGATAATCTTGTTTGGTCCTTGGCTTCGGACTTCCCTTGGCTTCGGACTTCCCGTGTGAGAACAGACACACAGGCAAAGCAGCCATTCAGCAGTGGGATGGATCCTGACTACTAAAGAGGGAGAGGGAGAGAGAGACCGAAAGAGCGAGAGAGCAAGATATGGGGGAGTGGTGGGTGAGAGAGAGGAAGCGAAAAAGAGAGTGAAAGGTTCCACACGGCAGAATATAAATCTGTATGTTAACAGGACTAAAGCTGGAGGTCTCGAAGCGGCATTAGTGGTCATACTGGTGGGGGGTGGACATAAAGCATCAAGAGGTGGTCTTCCCTATGAACTGAGGATCTGTGCAAATAAGGAACTAAAACCCGTGGGAGCCGTGAACGCTGGTTGTCAAGCACAGTGGTGGGCTGGTCGGAGGTCTGTGACCCCCTCATTTGTATTTCTGGAAGAAAGAAGAAGAGCAAAAAAGGCACGAGCGAAAGAGGAAGGTGGCTGCGAGGGACCCGTGAGCCATTTCTCTCTTTGATTACTTCCATTCCCCAAACCATTGCATCCCATTATCACAGCGATGTAGAGGTATTCTCTTCGGTTAGAGTAGGAAGGGTCCCATTGACTGCTGAGGCTTAGCACCTCTCTCCAAGCGCTAGCCCTTTTCATTGTGGTCCCCCCCCTCATCTCTCGCCTCTATCCTTTACGTCTGCTGTTTCTTTTCTTGTCCCTTGTATTCTTGTCCTTTTTCACAGCACTCAGGAATCAGGAGGCATTGCGTTTTGGTAGAAGTGGGTGTTTCTGGAGCTGTCATTGTGTTGGGTGCCGCTACAAAGGACAGCTGAGCAGGGAGTGAGAGAGACAGCTTTGGGGATAATAAAATAGCAGCCTGAAAGAACGGGGGGGACCTGGGACAACAGGAACAGCTGACAACCAGTGTAAGGTGAATTGTGATGAAAAAGAAAACTGTTACAGAGACTGCCAACCATTTTAAGGTAGCTATTTATTGACACCATCAACACTTCTGGAGGAAATAAAGAAGCAGTGTGCCAAACTAACACTGCCGGCTGGATTCTGCTATTGCTGTTGCTAAGCAAAGTCTTTAACCAGACAGTATTGAGCACTCTACAGCCATGAAAGAAAGCTCAGAGGAAAGCATTGAAAGCACCAGGCCCTCCAACCTGCACGCTTTTGCCAACATATCCACCCTACATGGCATGAGTCACATTTTCGCCTATGGGCACATGACATTCCGTCGGTTTCTTTGGACTATTTCCTTTCTTGGTTCACTAAGCTTACTGATGCTGGTGTGCATGGATCGAGTGTCCTATTACCTGGAGTATCCTCACGTAACCAAACTAGACGAAGTGGCGGCGCCGAACCTCACCTTCCCAGCCGTTACCTTCTGTAACCTCAACGAGTTTCGCTTCTCCAAAATCACAAAAAATGACCTGTATCATGCGGGAGAGCTCTTGGCCCTCCTGAATAATAACTACCAAATAGCCAACACACACTTGGCTGAGCCCGAGGTCCTGGCTGCTCTAAAGGATAAGGCGAACTTTCAGAACTTCAAGCCCAAACAGTTCAACATGACTGACTTCTATAATCGTACGGGTCATGACATCGGGGAAATGCTACTGCAGTGCACCTTTCGAGGAGAAAATTGCCACCCGGCTAACTTCACTATTGTAAGTACTCATGCGTACACACTCGATTATCTTAACATGCTGTTATTCTGCACATTCTGTGTGCTGTATTTCCTGCCAGACCTGACAGCTTGTCCCTTTCCTTTATGTTCAGATAGGCTTAGACTGAGCTTTAATGTTGCTTGTGCAATTTGCTTTAATGCATCTAGTACACTATTATATTCCAGTGTTAATGAATTTGTTATTTCTTAAGTGTTGCCAGTACTTTCAAAAGCTAGTTGTAGGTGTTGTTTTTTTTTTTTTTAACCTTAGTTCATGTTTGTTCTGTGCTGAGAGCAAACAGTGCATGAAACTTGTGATACAGGTCAGCTCTTGAGGTGAAATGCTTCAAAGATATGCTTTCTTTTTCTCCATTACTGGCTCGCTTGAACTCTGAAGGCTGCTTGGCTTCTAAGAAGAGGGACATCCTTTCTGTTGGCTGTGTTTGCCCCCCCATGAGATGCTGTTTTAGTTGAAATGTATGGTTTGGGCATTGCACACATGTGTTTGTTTTAACAAATCTGTTTTAATAACATTTTCCGAATTGAAGTTCCTCACTGATTATTGCTTTGGGAGTAGGTTGGGTTCACCCTTGGTGTCTCTTGTCGTTATTTTCCCATCTTCTTTATTCTCCGCATTTAAATATTCATCAATCAGTGTTGCTCCTAATGATCTTTTTCAGACAAGTTATTTCTCAGTTTTTAGTAGAAACATTTGAATGTTTGTTGTGCATTTACATTTTTTTAAAGAACATTTAATACTTCTACACAGATTATTTTCAAAGACCTTTTAGAAAAAGGTCTTTGAAAAAAGGAGTTTTTACCAAGCAGTCACACTGTGTGCTTTTGATTTATTCAACACTACATTTGGCTGTGCATCCAATCAAGCCTAGCTCTTCATTCACCATTCAATATGAAAGAAGTTCACTAAACTTTAATGTTTTGCTTTTGTTTTGTTCTTTGAGCCGATGATTTAGAGATAATATCACATACCCGATCAATGATGGAGTGTTACATTAAAAAGTAACTTGGAAGTAGACAGAGTAACATAAATTGCCCCCACAGTAGTGTCATGGGTTGATTAGAAGCAATGGACTATATTAAAGCAGAGATGTGAAGCTGGGTGACATCAGACAAATGATCCTCGTAAAGATCTCAACACACCCAAGTACTGATGCTGCATTATAATGTACACTGAGGGATGTGTCTGTAATATTTTTTTAAAGTGGCACTTACAGTACACCCCCATCACCCCAGCCCCAAACTGTTCTGTCTGCTGCCGTCTGGCAGGCGTCACCGCAGCATCCGGACTAAAACCACCAGATTCAGAGACAGTTTCATCCCACAGGCAATAAGACTGTTAAACACCTGAACTTTGAAACAACATCTGTTAAACACCTGAACTGCTGAAACAACATCCATAACATTCATCTGCTACTTAGAAATTATTTATCTATTTATCTAATATATCATTCCAATAACTTGCATATAGACTCTTATTGCACTATTTCACTATTTCACTTTTTTAAACTATTTTTCTTTTTGTATTTACTATTTACTTGCACTATATTTTTCTGTTTATCTGTGTTATTGTGTTGCACTTTTGGAGTGAGCCTGTGACCTAAGAATTTCATTGGCATAACTACACTGTAGCTATGTTCGTATGACAAAATAAAGAACCTTGAACCTACAGGGACCCTTAGTAGTCCTTATTGAAAAGGGTGACCTTATAGACAGGTGTTATATTTTAACTGGAATAAACATATCCTAAAAGAGAAAAAATAGGATGTTAGCCTCAATAAGTTATACATTTGTGCTACAATTAAATTGACATCACATAAAAAAAAGTTTAGAAGTGTTATTTCTCTGCAATTTGTCTTAGATTCATGTGTATTATATCGCTACAATCATGTTCTTGTACATATACATGCAGTTGCCAATTTGACTTTATAACCAAATTAGGAATAGAAATTAGTTCATAATGATTAGCCCATTTTATTTGATTCAAATGGAGGAGAACAAAAAGCAGTTGGCAAATATTTCCTTTCTTCAGTCTGGATTGCAGATTATTTTATTTTGAACAAGAGTACATGGGCCAAAAAGAATAAAGGGCCTAGGGAGAGGCAATACTGCAATATCACTTGTTTCTGTTTAATTTCCAACTCTTTTTTTTCAAGACGTTTTATTATTCTCACTGCGTCTGTGTCCTATACTGTACGCCATCTTTTAAAGTGCACATTTGATGGGGTGACATCCAACTTACTTATCTCTAAATGAGTTTATCTGCTATCAAAAATACAATTTCTTATCTACGTTGTATCTTTAATCTACCCTAAAATAAATCCCCACAGATGGCCGGTTTTTAAGTGACTGACCTATAATCGTCAGAGTTGAAGAAAACTTATCTTTGCTTTTTTTAACATTTATATTTTATTAGACATTTTCAAAGACAGAAACATAAGGACAAGGACATGGCTCACACACATCACAAACAGGACAGGACAATAACATGAAGGGTTGGGGGATTACAGTGTCAGTTACATTTTATGTATGCATATGGCATTGTATTTATACATGATTTGCTTCACAATATAGATATACTTCATTGTTTCCTCATTATTATTTTAAAACAAAAAATGTATAATAGATAAATAAATAAATAGTCAAATAAATAAATAAATATATATACACACACACATTTCTTCCTTTTCTGATTAATTCACCTATCCTATTCACCTATTTCCCATTTAATTTAACTTCTTTAATTATTATTACCATTATTTTTCTGTTTCTTCATAGCTTATTTCTCTTTATTTATATGTATTTATCGATATTATTATAATTATTATACGTGACTTTTCTGTGTAAGAAAATAAAGCAATAATTTAATACGGATATACATGTTTTTTTCATTTGTGTCATGAATATTGGTAAGTGGGAATGTTTTCATTTACATGTTTGTCTCCAAGCTATACTCAAAAGTGTCTTGAGAATCAAGTCATTCATGGGAAGCTAATTACTGCTGTATTGCTTGAATGCAACAGTTAATGAATTTGGATTTGCTGCGTGCTTGCTTGTTTTTGTTGGGCAAATCCGGTGGTCCAGTAAACTGTGAACTTTAACCTGGCCATGAATGACTGTCATCAGATTTGAACAGCCTTGTTGATACCCATCCATCATTGTATTGTGTGGATGTAGTGCCACACCACACTGCATGTTGTCCTCAGTTGGCAAAATTGTGTTTGTCAGGCTTGGATGAGTGCCAGTATGCCATTTTAAGGATTTGGTGAGATTGGGTTCTCATGTGTGATCTCGTGACATTATTGTATCAATGCAGCTACCTCACAAGGTAACTTGATTTGGGCAGACATAGAGGAGAAGAGTGACATTTTAAATACAGAGCAGCAAGAGGATGAGGAAAAAATATGAATGAGGCCACACTATTGTTATTTTAAACCATTTCTAAATTAAACTTCCAGAACAATTACTTTAACGTGATTTATACATGTACGATGATAAACGTTTTTGGCTATATCACCTAACCCTATGCCATACTCATAAAATAAGATAAGATAAGATTGTAATTTATTGATCCCAATTTGAGTGTTTGGTGCTGTATCTGACAACAATCTCACACAACCAGCTGTGAATACTGACCTCTAGTTTCCACCGGGTCCGCCTGCGGCGCGTTACGGCTGCGCCGCGATTTTGGTGCGGGTTCCTCCGGCGTCATACCCTACCGGGCGCTTTTCACGAGCGTTTCAGAAGCATTACGGAAGCGGAGCGTCGTGCATGCTGGCTCGCAGTTCTTGTTGATTTGGGCATATTTCCTGGACATTTGTACTTCGACAAGAAAGTAAGTAGGCTACGTAGTTAAATGGTTTATTTTTGTGTCTGTTTAAATCGTGTTTATTGTTGTTATTTCCTATTTTGTTGTGTTGTAGACTACAGACATAATTAATAATAATTGTAATAGTCCAGTTAAAAACAACATGAATCAAAGATGGGTTGCTGTATTTTAGTGGTAAAAAAAATGCATTCATCATCATAATTATTCTATATAATTTACACACTGCCTGTACACCGAAGGAGAACGCTGGCCTTTATTCTCCTACTGGAAAGACTACAGAGGAGGGATGGGGGGAGGAGAAGGAACCGGTTTTGGGTGCACCCCCTCAACCAGCAAAGGAGACAACAAGGTGATTTCCATCACCTTGTGGCTGAGCTGAGGCTGGGCAGCCAACGACATCATCGATATTTTAGGATGAGTGCAGAGCAGATGGATGAACTTCTGTCCCTCCTCGGCCCTGAACTGACCAGACAATCGACAAATTACAGAGCTGCCATCGAACCCAAGCAGAGACTGGCTGTTGCATTGAGGTAAGATGCACATTTCACAGACAATAAATCACTGACCACAAGTTTAATAAACGTTTTAATTCTAACAATTTCACCCAAAAAACATTGGAAACTTAACTTAACTCAACAAACAAACTATTTACAACAAACACAATTTGAGTACTACAACTCTACATAATATGATCCCCCAGGTTGGCTTTCCTGCCAACCTTGGGAGGACAGCATTTGTGTTAATGGCCCTATAGGTGTTGATGGGCCTTGTGGGGGTTGTGGAGGTACACTTGGCCGAAAGGCTACTGGCCTGGAGGTGTGAATTGAATGCTGTGACATGGGGGGATGATCAATAGGCTGCCAATGTTGGTGCTGTGTGTTTTCCAGGTTATGGAGGGTGTTTAAAATACTAAGTTTGGCCTGATGTCGCCTGTCTTTGTCCAGTCTTTGTAAAATGGGCACAAGACTCAGCGCGAAGTGGTAGGACTCCTCCAGTTCTGACTCTGGCATGTTTGCTTTGGCTGGAAGTTCCTGTAATAGAGACAACAGTTGCTCTCCCAGGTCTGTGCTCTGTGGCCTCCTCCTTTGGTCCCGTGTGGAACGCTGGGCCGCTGCTGCGGAAATTAGATCCCTGGGGCTACGGGACCTAGAGGG